AGCTAATGGGAAGAGGAAACCACAGCTCCCAAGGGGAAGAGAGAAGTTAACTTGGAGCTTGAACTAATCCTCATGGCCTGTCGCAGAGTCACAGTGGCCAGGTTTGTATGACATTTACATCATCTAATTGCATGATCTTACTTCCTACCCTCACCTCACAATTTAAAATTGTACCTCTTCCTTTTCTCTGTTTTATTTTTCTTCAGCACCCTGACCTTGTTCTCATACACTATATAATTCACTTATTATTATTATTAATGTCTGATATACCTGGAATTTTTGTCTGTTTTGTTTATTATTCATCCAGGGCCTAGAAGTGTCACCTCACAATTTAAAATTGTACCTCTTCCTTTTCTCTGTTTTATTTTTCTTCAGCACCCTTACCTTGTTCTCATACACTATATAATTCACTTATTATTATTATTATTAATGCCTGATATACCTGGAATTTTTGTCTGTTTTGTTTATTATTCATCCAGGGCCTAGAAGTGTCAGAGGTATCCTGGTACAGAGTAGATGTGCAATAAATATCTGTTGAATAAATGAGTTATTAATCCTGACAAAAGCAATATTAAAAAAAAGTAACTATGATTAAGTTTTTCCTACATGTATTGAATATATAGATAAATGGTTGGACATTAAAAATTATTTTATAGAAATCTTCTAATTGGACAAAATATGACAGCAGGAACTTTACAAAAGCTTCGATGGTCGAAACCCACGTGGAACCCACTTCAGTCAGCATGGTGTGCTCTTCAAAAACGTATCTATGGGAGGATAAAGGATAAGCCTGTGCTGGTGAGCATGGAAAATCCTTGAGGTTTCCTGATGCAGATAGCCTTGAACTCCTTGAGCTAAGGGTATGGTTTGGTTCATTGTACTCAGAACCATCTGGCAACAAGGTCAAATGCTGCTAACCATACCTGTGAAACTCTGAGACTCACTAATTTTATGTTCCCATGTCTGGACAAAGCACTATTATCCAATTCCATGGTTCTTAGCACAGGATCAGGAGGCTCATGGGAACTCAAAACATAAAAGATGAATAGAGGACTGTATTAATTATTTGGGAGTGTCTCCTGCATTTGAGGTTGTCATAATCACAACAGATGCATTCCAACAAGGACACATCAGTGTGTGGTGAGGACCTCAGTGGCTGCTCTGGCTCATCCTTTCCCTAAAAGCCAAGACTCTGGCCAATCTAGTGTTAGCTAAATTGGGCTAATCTGAGCAGATGACAAAGATGCTTTTGGCTGAGATTCAGGTACCTCCCTCTCTCGCCCAATGTGGGCCATAATGACTGGCCTGAAGAACTGATGAAGGACTAGGCTTATATAGAAGAAGAAAGGACAACTGGCCTCGTAGGTCCTAGGATTAATATACTGAGTGGATGGAGCCAAAAGGATATGGTATTGCAAGAAAATTCTCTATAGGACTACACTAATGACATCTGGCTTATTTCCAAATGGAAAAAACTTGGGCAGGTGTGTAAACATGTGAATCACATAGCTGTGTGATACTTGTGTCACTCTTAATTATTTCATATATTTCAATGTGGCCCTTGGGGAAAAAAGCCTCATGTAAACTATTGGTCTAGTCACATGGTACATAGGGATTCATGAACTCCACGTTCTAAACCTATTTGTTCTTTTAGTACCTTGGATAATTTTTAAAAACCAGCTTTATTGAGATATAATTCACACATACAATTCATCTACTTGAAGTGAACAATTCAATGGTTTTTAGTACAGTCATACTTATGCAACTATTATTATTGTCAGTTTTAGACCATTTGCATCATCCCAAAAATATACTGTGTACCCTTTAGCAGTCACTCCCCGTTTCTCTCCAACCTCACCTTTTACTCAAGCTCTAGGCAACAACTAATCTGCTTTCTGTCTATATATATTTGCCTATTGTGGATATGTTACGTAAGTGGAATCATATAATATGTGATCTTCTTTCACTTAGCATAATCTTTTCGATGTTCATCTACGTTGTAGCATGCATCAGCTACATCCTTTTTATTGCTGGATATTTCATGTTCTATTCCCCACCACATTTGATTTATCCATTCATCAGTCAATGGGCACTTGTTTCCACTTTTTGGCTATTATGAGTAATACTGCTATAAACATTTGTGTACAAGTTCTTGCATAAACGTAACTTTCCAATTCTCTTGGATATATATGCCTAAGGGTGAAATTGCTCAGTTATTTGGCAACTCTATGTTAACTTTTGAGGAACTACCAAACTCTCTTCCACAGCAACTATACCATTTTACATTCTCACTAGCAATATATGATGGTTCCAATTTCTCTATGTGTTCTCCAATACTTACTATTATCTGTTTTTATGGTTATAGCCATTCTGGTTGGTGTGAAGTGGGTATCTTATTGTATAGTTTTGACTTTCATTTCCCTAATGCTACTAAGCACCTTTTCATGTGTGAATTGGCATTTGTACACCCTCTTTGGAGAAATGTCTATCTTTGCCCATTTTAAAATGAATTATTTGAATTTTTGTTGTTGAGTTCTTTATCTTTTGCCTTAAGGGTAAGGGGAATGGTTAGAAGATGAGAGCCTCATCTCTCTCAGTTGCTCTTGCCTGAAATAGAGCTTCTGCAACACAAAGATGGGGAAGATGAGAAATGCCGGTGGCCTATTTCTCCCAAGGATGCACTGTTGCCCTAGACTGGGATCTAGGTTGAAAGAGATCTTTGTGTTCTTGGCTGCATCCACCCAGAGTAGAGCACTGTCCAGCCAGAGTGAAGCACCATCACAACCAGTTGAGGGGGCAGGGAAATGTGTTGTGGCTCAAATGCCACAAACTCTTGCAGTTCTTACTGACATATAGTAGATTGTGTTGAATACATATTTCTTCATTTGCTGTATTTCCTCAGGACAATTTCCAGGGGCTTTAAATGATTGTTTACCTATAATTTTTATCAGTTATTGTTGTTTTGTAAGGAGTGGGTGGGATCACAAAGCTCTTCAAACCACCATTCCGAAAGTTGAGTCCCATTTGGATAATTTTTAATGAATATTTTGTTTCTTACATACTTGGTGATAAAATACCTTTTGCTGATATACTAGATAAAAAAAATTGGCTTTAGAATTATGAAGGACAATTTTTATAAAAGGTTTTGCAAATTTACAAACAGTGAATTAAGAAAACCAATGGGGGTTGAGGACTCGTTTACTTTCACCTTCATATTCAGTCAAATTCTCTAGAATGTCCATGCATTTGTTTTGACAAACCATTCTTAATTTATTTTCATTAAATAGTTGTACAGAAATATTTGAATAATGAGGGTGACGGTACATTTCATACTGGAGTTTGTTGTTGGTCTAGTAATTATAAAGCCATCATAGCCATTGAAACAATCATTAAAATGATGTTTTAAAAAGCATAGGAATAATTCAGATATGAAAATTAAGTTACTAAAATCTTAACAGTTTTATGCATAAATTTTAGAAGTTCACTAGCAAAATGACCATGTATTTTCTTAATTTTTGTTTAATTCAAAATAACTTCTACACCACGAAGTCTTTTAGAAAAACAATTTTCCCAGCTTTCCTAAATGCATTTATTTGGACTTTGGGGGCTAAGACAACTTGATTTAACAATTCTTCAAATTCTTTATTTGATCATGAGCTGGGCTCATACATGAATTGCCAACCAGTTGAATGTCACTTTAGTTGAAACGAATGTAGAATTTCACTTCCTATCTAAAACTCACGGCAAAGTTAACTATATATTTCTCTTTGAGTGTAGAAGGTTGGTTACTTATAAATGATTACCTAAGCATCTTTGAGAAAATGTGTATGCTTAATAATCAGGAGAAAATGTTAACATTTATTAATTGCTGGAAATTTTTCACTTTTTTGGCAATTGACTTGTGTGTGTACGCTTGCCTAAAGTAACTTGTGGGCAAAAAGTATTGTGTAAGACCATGACACCAGATAAAGATGAATATTTAAGAAGGAAACCAAGCACCTCCCAATGATATTTCCCTGAATAGTCATTAATGAACTACACAAAGATAAATAGTGAAAACAATTAGCAAAGTAATTTTCTCTTCTTTTGGCTTGGAAAGTTTCAATGTTAAAGTTTGGCTTCTGATGGGTGAAACATCTTACTTTCCAACATAGTAAAAGGTAAAGGTAATTACAAATTAAAATTGTAATGCAGTTAAATGACAAACTACATTAAAGGTCGATATTCATTTTTTCCCCTATAAAGACAGGAATTCTATCCTACCAAAGCTACTTTACCGTTCAAGTAGATGTTTTGGAAGATGCTTACCTCCTGGCTGGGTATCTCTCCCTGTGGCTTAGGTGAGCACCAGCGCTTTGGCTCCTCCCTGGCTGCCACCAGCTTCCCACTGCGCCGGGCACCTCCGAGCCTCCCGGAGTTGGGTGTTCGGCCCCGCCCTCTGGACTATTGCTAAAACTACAGTTCTGGCAGACTGATTCCGGTGATTAATTATTGACAAAAGGAAAACACTCCTACGCAAACTTGTGTCCAACCGCACTGCTCCGAGCGACTCCTTCCCGAAGAGAATGCCGGCTGCACCACTCCCCTCCCCCCTTGCTCTATGGTCCCAACTTCTCTTATGCTGCCACTCTCAGTGCTGGGCGATTAGGCTAGTCCTCGGAGGAACGCAGCTCAGGGACTTCCACATCTTAAAATTTGGTTTCCTGCAGCTCGTTCGCACTTCTCCAGGGACCTGCCTCTCAGGAGGGGGCGCTTTCGGGATGCAGGGGAAGCCTGGGCTCTGAGCAACAGAGGCGGCTAAGGCGTCGCTGTCACCTCCGGCTGCTGCAGTAAAACCCCGAGCCGAGGCGGGGATGGGGAGGAGGGGACAGGGAGGCGCCCTCCCCTGCGCTCCTGCTGGGATCCCCGGCACTACCAAAGGGGCACGTCTTTTGGTGGTGGTGGAGGGGTGGCCCCACAAACAGGAGGTGTAAAGGTGGAGGAAGCTCTGGAGCTTTAGCCTAAGACGCTGTTAAACCGCCCAGGGAAAGCCTGCGCCCAGCATCCCTCCGTCTGCAGACTCCAGCGAGGGGGCGAGGGAGCCGGGTGTGAGCAGAGCAGGACTGCGTCTGAAACTCTGCATCAGGCTGCGAAGGGAGCCCAGGGCTCCGGCGGCCGGGGCAGCCGGGGGTTGGCCGAGCAGGCATCCCACTGCCTTTGTTCGTCAAAAACCGAGAAAAGCAAACCCTTTTCAGCATTGGCAGCTGATTCTGGTGCCTTTGAACGGGCAAAATCCTTCTCCCCGCCCCACTCCCTCCATCCTGCCACCTCGCCCGGTGGCTGGGAGGTTAATCGTTAAAAAGCTGGACTCCCGGGTGAAACAGACGAAAGGACCGTGCCTGGGGAACTTATGGGTGCTCACTCACAAGTGCAGAGGATTAATATGGGCCGGGACTGCGGCAGGAGGGTGAATTGGGAAAGACGACTGGGAGGCGGCCAGGTGGTGCAGGGACGCTCGGCGACGGTTCCCGCGGCTCCTGGGCAGGCGTGCCCCGCGCTTAGGCTCCGCGCTCGATTATCTTCCCCAGGAGGCGCGGGACCCGGGAGCGTCTTGCCTGGAAACCCGCATCCATAGCACCAGCAATCTCTTCCCTACCGAGGGCAGTGCTTGGCTTTGACGCCGCGGCTGCTTGCTGAGAGCGCAGAGGACCTTGAAGGCTCTTCGCTTTCTATCTCCGTGGCTAAGACTTTCTGCCCGAGGCCCAGGGGAGCACGGGGGCGAAAGTCTCTTGATTAATGAGCATTTGGGCAGCATCTGCCAGTCAGACCCCAATGCCAAAGGAGGAGGCACTGCACATGCTCTGCCTGGGCCGATTCTGCTGAAGCGCGAATTTTAGCTGCTGGCAGGTCTCTGCTTGTTCTCACAACACCCTTTCGGCAGGTTCCAAGCTGCCAGTGCTACGCAGAGGGAGATTCACGTTACTGGGCGGTGGTGTCTCCGGGCAGGAGGGTGGCTGTCCCCAAACGGAGCCGAAGGTGGTTGGAGGCAGGGAAGGAAACCAATAGAAACTGAGTACCTGCTTGTGTTAGCCATTTTACATAGTTATCTTTTCCTTCTACTCTTGTGTCTAACATTAGCAACGACTGCTAGTATTTTTTATTTATCACTTTATGTTGGTCACATTCCTTATCTCTTGACTTCTCCTGACACGCCTTGCCGTGTTGGCATGGCAGATATGACCACCCAGAGCATGTAGATGAGGAAATAGAAACCCTAAGAAACGACTTGGCCGAGATCACCAACCCATTTGTGGAAAGGCCAATACGATTTATACTAGTTTCTAGATTTTATTATCCATTATTCAGTTTCCCTACTAAATCATGACACCCACACACACACTGTGATTGCACATTTGTGGAAATATGGAAACAGTCCTTCCTCCCAAAGGTTTGTGGAATGGATATGAGAGCTTGCAACTCTTTCAACTGAAGGTTGGGAGATAGTGATACAGCTGGCAGAAGCATTCAGACCATTAAAAATGATCTTAAATGACATATATGTAATATAACTGCATGGGCACAACTTCGTGTATATCTTTGAACCCCCAAATAGGGACTAAATGTTCTGTTTTCCATACAAACACAGAACATTCTCAAAACTTAACTGGGTCATGAAATATAGGTCAACACAGTTGAAAAGGCAGAAATCATACAGACCACATCACCCATCAAAATACAATAAGAATAAAATTAACAACAAAAATCTCCCCTGACTGATATAAATTAGAAATTTAAAGATGTTTTAAATCAACATTAAAAAGAAGCACAAATGAGAAAACTACAAACTTTTTAGTCACCAAAGAAAATCAAAAGCCATATGTAACAAAATTAGGAGAGTATAGAAAAGCCAAACAATCCATAACAGCATACATTAAATGTATTTATTGTAAAACAACAAACCAAGAGACTTAGAAAAAATTGCAAAAGAATTACTTTGACTAATAAAGATAACAGCAGAAATGAATGAAGTAGAACAGTAAAACAAAACAAAACCAGGAGGCTTGATCAATAAAAGAAAAAAATTATATTCTCTGGAAAGATCAAGAAACTAATCACAGAAAGATTAAGAAATGGAGAAGACACAAATGACATTAAGGAAGATTATGTAACCACAAAGAAGGAAGATTTTTTAAAAAAAACCCAAAC